TCTATGCTTCAAGTTGAAAAGTTGAATGTGATATATTGATTTGACTTGGGTGGAATTACATGACAATATTGCTTAGACTGCATAATTGGGTCAGAAAATTGCTGAGGATTTGAAAATTGGTTCTCTGGGATGAGTTAGAAAATGTGAGCTGCCAACCTACCATGATTCTGCAGATCCTGCAACCAGGATCTTGGCTCTCAGGAAACCACTTACCATCCATGAATGCCTAGGCAAATCCAAGGACGGGGACTCTACCCTGTTCAGACGGGGACATGGAATTGTTGGCCTCTCTCTGCAGCTTCTGTGCCTGATTCTAACTCAGGATGTGGAATGTTAGGGAAACAGAGATTGTTGGAGAAAAAGGGTCCATGATAGCGTGTTACCAGCAACTCACACCAAATGACTTTTTAAGAAAGGTGATAATTTAGAGTTTTAAAGTGTTTCTTTTTCAATGACAGATGCAGGACAAAATTTCTTACGATTCGAGGACTTCTCCGATGGTATCATAATAATTTACAATACACATGTGGATGGAAATGGCAAGATTACTCATATGACTAATATTGCTGGTAAGTATAGGTGATATTTACCCTTTAAAGCACAGCATAGTAATTTCTGTTTTCTTTCTTATTTTTTTAAAGTTGAATTCAGATTATATGCCTATACTTGTAAATATGCAATGCTGAAACAATTCTTATAGAAAATTATAAAGAACCAATGAATAATATGGAAAAATACTTATGTATATTAATATTCAAATTAATTTCACTCATTTCAGTATTAATGACCATACTGATCTCCACCATCAATTCTTCATCTTATCATAATAGTTTGAATGCTTTCAAAACTGAAAGTTACTCAAGAACACCACTCATTACATATGCTGCTCCATTCCTGCCAGGGATTGAGACTTTTGTGTCTTGCCTCAGAGCAAGCAAAAGCTGAATTTGAACCTTTGAGGTCATAGATATACCTTTGAAATTGATGCAGCTTGAAACTTATTTTATCAAAGATTTTTAAAAAACTTCTTTTTTGTTGTTTTTTTTCTTTTTGTTTGTTTTGCTTTTGCTTTGCATTAACAGAGACGACCATGCTAGGGTGCTAGTTGAAAAGTTCAGATCAACACCACCCCTCTTCTGATATTGAATATTGGATGAATTGTCCAGAATACTGGGGCACTAACTGTAGAATGTAGACAGAGTTGAAATGAGAAACCACAGTACAGAATATTTCCCAAAGCTTAGGCCCTGGAATTGTTCTGGAAAATGTAAAAATACTAGGCAGACTTGAATTCACACAATAAAGGGTCTTGAAAGTCCTCAGTAGTCCTAATAATTATACATGATATGATTTCCATAAGTGGAATTTACCCACGTTCCCATATCACCCATAAATGACTTGGAAGTATTCTTAGTTGGTGTGATCAACTGGTCTACCTGGGACCCAGAGGACGCTTTTTAACAGAAACCTCTTTCATGCTATCCCTCATAAAACACAGCTAAGGAAAACAGGCTGAGTGAAGAACAGAAGAAGAAGTTTGAAGAGCTGACAGTGGCATCCAAGATTCCAAAGGAGAACATAAGAAATATTATTGAAACTGGTAAAGTCACTTTCCCTCTTCCTGTAGTAATCTGAAATGAAGCAGAGGAGAGGGAGCTTCATTCATATCTTCTATTTGCAAAATGCAAATCATTACACATTGAGCAACCACAGTGACCTTGACTTTATCTTCCCTTCTCTTTCACAGATGACTGTCCTGCTGCCTAAGGATCTTGTCTGATGAGCAGATACTTGAGGTTTGTACAATCTGACATTTTGTCCTGTTAGGTATTTTTCCTCTTATGATACGTGGCATATGTGTGAATGAGTGAAATGGTCCCTCCTTCAGGGTTAGAGATGATTATATGTGTTTATCACATGGATAAAATAACATACCTTTAGTTTTCAGAATGGGTTCTTTTATTGGGTGACAGTGGGAGAGATTTTTGTGAAGCCATGGAGAATGGAATACTATTAACATTGGTGAATTCATTACTTTGCAATAGCAAAATCTTCAACATCACTAAAGGAGATTTCTCAAAAGCTTTCAGATTTTGGAGGGAAAGGTACTAGAGAATTAACCCAGGAAGAATCTACCACTGAGTTACATCTCTACCACATCTCATTCATTATTTTCACATGGCCTCTAAGACTTAGAAGCTGGCCTTGAACTTGAGAT